GTTAAGGGAGACTTAACAGTGATCTCAGCCCAGCTTGGAGTGATATGAGTTACAGTCCACAGCACCTGGAAGGCAGATACCTACATGTACAGCGTGGGGTATACTGCTGTGCCCTTCCGTTATCACGCTCTGCCTTATAAATGGCGCACTGTTTATCCTGCAATCTGTTCTTCTTAACGCATAGAGATGTTTCAATGTAATTTTTAAAGTGAGGATTTCTAAAGTGAATCAGCTAATTTCTCCAAGCCGTATTCCAAAATAACCGATTCTGCCACTTCAAATGTGTTTTTCTTTGTTTTTTAACATGCAGCGTTTATTGAGGTTTTCTAGACACACTAAAAGCAGACATCAATGTGAGCTACGGAGCAGCAAAAAATATCACGTTTATAAATGATGATAACAATGATAATAATAATATCACTAGCAGGCGAATACACCGTATGTTGCGGGACACCTGGTAACCCAGCCGGTTACCCCCGCTTGCTCCCTTCCTTCAGCCGTTCAGGAACCATTTAGCAGGCACAGCGACCCAGTTCTCCCCCAGTAACTAGCTCTCATAGTCCTTACAAGGACTTTCCCTAGCTGAATCCCCTGCAAGCTGGAACAGCAAACACAGGCGTTAGATCTTCCTTCCCTCCAGTAAACGGACGACACACATTCCTAGAGGTTTAACAGGCTTTTTTTATACACAGACCCCCACAGGGGGTCTTTATTCAAAACAATCAAGGAGGCAGGAGGGGGCTGGGTTACAGATAGCCATCCCCCACTCTGAGAGATACCAACATTACACAGGGAAACAGTGGGGCTCGGCGCCCAAGGAAGGGGTCACATGGATAAAACCTGTATCACTATATAGCCCCAAATTGTGGGGTTATCGCATGTGCAGAGCCAGAGATATCAGCATCTACAGTCTGGGACTCGCGGCTCTGTACATCCCCGAAATGAGTTCCATGGAGTTGCTCGGTTTAGTCTGGTGAATTGAAACTTCGTGCCTAAACCAAGCAACAACCAATCAGCTGAAAGGGCGTGAACCAAATTGCGCCAATCAGCGCTCAGGGAAAGAGAAGAGTTTGGTGGCCCAATCAGGAGAAAGGGCGCAAAATCCTATTTGCACGGGCGCTCCTTCTCTGATTGGTTGCCTGCGCCCCGCAGCGACCAATCAGCGCTCACTCGTGCCGGCCAACCATGAGAATAGCGCAAACCCAGTTTGAATAGGCGCTCCTTCTCCCATTGGTCGGCATGGACTTCCATGCGGCCAGCGGGACTCTGCAGCCATGAGACCGACTCACAGCTCCAGAGATTCCCTGCTGGTGCGCGTCCCTCTCTCCAGTGGATATCCCTACCCTGGTATCCACTTGAGAGAGTACTCTCCTGGGCACCTAGCCTCATAGCTCCTGGGCAGGGGGAGGGGGAAACAGTGACCATAGCTCTGGTGGGAGTGGGTAGGACGATCCCCGACACTGGGACCGGATAAAGAATACACACGCTGGTTCAGGATACAAATGCTGCCCCTGGTTGGTGTTTGGTTATAAGAACCGGCAGCCACCCAGGGGAAGCAGGCGTCGCTTGTATCACAAGTGGTTTGCGGTTTTCACACCTCATTATGAGGTGAAAACGTTCTAAATAGACATTCTAAATGAGGTGTTGGGGTGGTCCCCGTTCGGAAGCTGAACAGAACCCATTCGTATGAGCTCTCCCAAAAGGGGAGCAGGTAAAACACACGAATACATCACAGTTTACATGGGGAAACAGTATATAAGGGAAAATTGTGACAATACACATTGGGAACACAAAATACAAGGGCAAAACATATGAATATTCAGTGGGCATGGTACTTAGTGACAGTGTCCCGCAACAGCGTACATAAGGCAGGAATGTCTTTATGATTTCTAAACATTAAACAGTTTATCTAAAAAGCGCAATTTGCCGTCTCTGAGCATACGATGCAATAACCAAAGCAGACAATAAAACAATAAATGTACGAAGGACGAATTGCATGACTGAAATGTTTTAACAGGTTGGCTGTGCCCGGCGAAGGGGATAAAACACCAGGTTATTATTGAACGTGGGTAGTAGCTCTGTGCAAACCAGTCATAAAGTGAGCAGAATCAGGAAATCCTTACATTATACTGGATCTAACTATATTATATACAAAAACAATTATACAGATTAGTATTATTATTTTATTATTTATATAGCACCAGCAAAATTCCATAGCGCTGTACAGTGGGTGAACTAACAGACACGTATTTGTAACCAGACAAATGGACGCACAGGAACAGAGGGGTTGAGGGCCCTGCTCAATGAGGTTCTATGCTAGGGGGAGTGGGGTATAGTGACACAGGAGGTAAGGGTAGAGGGAGAATCCAGAACATTACACATACAGAGAACAGAGCCCAGAACATAACTCTCTTCATGTCATTGAACTTGGAGTAATATTGGCAGATAATCCGCTGTCTCTCCAGAGTTATCTTTATTGTCTCTCAGATATGGATAAATGGTGGAATGTTATGGGAGTTCCCCTTTTCTAACAGTAGGAGCCATTTCCAGGAAGATGAAAGGGCTGAGTCTGGTTATACGTCCCACGGACTGCGCACTGTCTTACTGTCTGGTTACACATGGTAGATACATTATCTGTACTCTCATCACAATCCAGTAACCCACGAAAGGGCACCTGCTAGATTTACCAGCTACTTGCTTGAGATTGTCCTGGTATATTTGCAGAAAAAAACTCTCAGTAGTCTTTGTATAAGAGCCAAATACAATAACTGATAAAAAAACAAATACATAATTAATATATATTTAGATCAATAAAATCCTTTCCTGCGGCTGGCCCAGAGAGCGATTCATTGTTATTGTAATTTTATTACATTGCTGAGATTCTAATTCCCACTGACTTTTCCTGTAAGTAGACGTGTCCACCGTATGGGGGTCACAATGTCTAATCATTGCCTTCATCAAAGCATTGGAACATCGTTGTAACTTTGTTATTGGTTTTCCCAAAGCTTTTGTTCCGTGTCCTTAACGAATGCAGCCGTCAGACACATTGACGTCACCGCTTTTTTCCATCGCTACACACTCCCACCCCCGGGCCTGTACCTCTCACTATCCACTAACACAGAATGCCGTTACATCCCCTCGCCCGTTACAGCTCTAATGATGAGGAATGCGAGGACTGCTGTAAAAAGAGAACTTAAATTACAAGATTCTAAACTGTAACCATTATTGCTATATTCCACCAAAATGATTTGTTCTGTCTTTCCTGTTTCACGTAATCGCTAAAAAGAATATAATCTGATTAAAATATGGCATTGATGTTTAAATCGTCAAATAAATATTCTAAAGTTAAAACGCAATATATGTCATTTTGCGGTTACAGTGTTCCTTTTTAGTGTATGTTACTGGATGTCCCCCCCCCTTTGTAAAACAAAAAAGGAACGTTCAAAGTAAAGCTGTAAAACTTACCTGTAACCCAGCGCTGGCTCCATCGCTAAATTTTTGTAAAATAATTCTGGTGATCTCTGGTCCAATTGGATTCTTCTTATAGAAAAGCTGTGGATCTACAGAGTATGAGCCGTGATCTCCGCAATCTATCAATTCAGAGAGAATCGCTGAGCCGAGTGATCTCCATTAGAGCATTAGCCTCATTCGGCATCATCAGATCCACCTTGTATTCAGGGACACGTATCACCAGGGCCGGCCTTAGGGGTGTGCGAGCTGTGCGACCGCACAGGGCGCCATGGAACAGGGGGCGCCCTGTGGCCGACACAGCTCACTCATGGCCGGAGTGCAGGGGAGCTAAAAGAGGTACCTGGCTGGAGGATTAATTGTTCTCCACCCGGGTCTATTTAAAAAAAAAAAAATCGCGGCAGAGGGGGCGGGGTTTACCGAGCGGCGGAGGCGGGGCTTATCGAGAGGCGGAGACGGGGCTAATACCTCCCGAAGCCCCTGCTGTACAGGAAGAGGGAAAGATGCTTCCCCATCAGCCAACTGCATCCACTGGAAAGAGGTAAGTGTGTGTGTGTGACTGTTTGCCTGTTTGTGTGACTGTCTGTCTGTGTGTGTGTGTGACTGTCTGTCTGTGTGACTGCCTGCCTGTGTGTGTGTGTCTGTGTGTGTGTGTGTGTGTGTGTCTCTGTGTGTGTGTGACTGTCTCTGTGTGTGTGTGTGTGTGTGTGTGTGTGTGACTGTCTGTGTGTGTGTGTGTGACTGTCTGTGTGTGTGTGTGTGTGTGTGACTGTCTGTCTCTGTGTGTGTGTGTGTGTGACTGTCTCTGTGTGTGACTGCCTGCCTGTGTGTGACTGTCTGTGTGTGTGACTGTCTGTCTGTGTGACTGCCCATGTATGTGACTGCCTGTGTGTGTGACTGTCTGTCTGTGTGACTGCCCGTGTGTGTGACTGCCTGTGTGTGTGAGACTGTGTCTGTCTGTGTGTGTGACTGTCTGTGTGTGTGACTGCCTGTGTGTGTGACTGCCTGTATGTGACTGCCTGCCTGCCTGTGTGTGTCTGTCTGTAACTATCTGTCTGTGTGTGACTGCCTGCCTGTGTGTGTGACTTTCTATCTGTGTGACTGCCTGCCTGTGTGTGTATAACTGTCTATGTGTGTGTTACTGTGTGTCTGTCTGTGTGTGTGACTGCCTATGTGACTGTCTGTCTGTGTGTGTCGCTGTAGCTGTGCCATTGTTTGTGCCTGTGCCTGTATGTGTGACTGCCTTTAACTGAGTGTGTGTGTACATGCCTGTAACCGAGTTTAAATTTCCCCCACCCCTTCCTGTCAAGGCCGCACTTTGACTGACAGACGCTCACTCACTGACAGACGCACACTCACTGACGACACATACACACTCACTGACGACACATACACACTCACTGACTGACACATACACACTCACTGACTGACACATATACACTCACTGACCAACACACACATTCACTCACACACACACACACATTCACTTACAGACACACACAATTACACACTTACAGACACACACACACACACACACACACATTCACTTCAAAATAAACACTCACAGACACACACACAGACATTTCCACTAACACTCACAAACTAATATTTTTTACATTTATTTTAAATCCACCCAGCCTCCCTGGGAAAGCTGGAGTGGATTTCTTACCAGCAGTCCAGTGTGGCTGCTGGGCAGGCAGGCAGGGGGCGCACAGGCTGAGTAAGCAGCGCTTAGTGATGCCGGGAGCCGGACTGACGTCATATTCTGGCTCCCGGCTTCATTAAGCGGCGCAGAGGAAGCTGAGCAGGAAGAGCTCAGGTGAGTATGCTCCTTCGCTGCCCGCTGCCAGCCTTGGGGGGGCTCAAAAGTGGCCAGCCGGTCAGCTCTTGAGCCCCCCAGGATGCGAGGCAAGCAAGGGATCTGCCTGGGGGTTTGGAGGGATGCTTTTTTTTGCCGCCCCCTGCAAAGTGGCGCCCAAGGCAGATGCCTTGTTTGCCTCGTGATACACACGCCCCCGGTGCCTGTGTGTGTTACTGTATTCAGGCAACTTGGTGGGAGGTGGGGGGGGCGCCGTGAAGACTTTTTGCACAGGGCGCCTAATTGCCTAAGGCCGGCCCTGCGTATCACGTATATAGGTTGAGGGGCAGCACACGAAAAGGGTAGCCCTGTATGTTAGGAACGCTGGTATTTAAAATACCCATTCACTTCGGGTGTTGATTCAAATGTTCTCCAGAAGAAAATGCAGTATCCAAGTAAATTCTACCAGAAATTCCCAAACATCATCCTAGACTAGATGAAGGGTACAACAGGAAGGAATTTATTCAGGCCAACTGGCCGGTTTATATGCAAGTCCCCATTCAAGGGGTTTACCGTGACATATTCCAGGGGCATTCCCCAATGGACCAGAGAGGGGACTGTGACAAAGTACACACTGTCATTACATTGGCTCTCAGGTCCAGGATGCTCCCACACAAAATAGGATAATCCTGAGATAATTGAGTGAGAAACTGTACTAAACTCAATTATCTCCAGGCACAAAAAACATACATTTTAACAACCTCCAGAAAGTACCCCCAAAACTCATGGAAACCCCACAAAAAGTCACATCCTCTGATAGCCCCGATTTGGGGCACCAACATATCCAAAAATCACCCAGATCAGGTCAGGGGTTCGGGATTTCCATGGAGGTCATAATTTGATCAACCACACACAAAGGCTTATGCCCAAAACAGTTCCACAGTTTCAGCGGTCGGTCTATTTCGGGGAGTTCTAAAACCGAACAAATCCACAAACTGTTCCCCTGGCTTATGGGTAGCGTTTGTTCCCCAAGTTCATGGGAACAAACCTACCGAATAGCGCTCTCCTGGTTGGTCGGTGAAAAGAAGCAGGAGTTCGTGAAGTTGACCGCTGTTTGGGAAATTGAGTGTCCGATTTTAGTTCAAAAGACTCGACGACCAAGTCCTGCTGCCTCTTTTCGTGCGACAAGATGGACACTGTTTTCTCCAGCATGTGGCATTCAGCCATACGAACGGCAGCCACACAGAGAGAGCACATAATCTGCAGTTCTCTTTGTAGTTAATGAGACAGGGGGGTGGTCAGTGTTCGGTAGTTTTATCTACCGAACGAGGAAAATCAAAGTTAACGAACAAAAAGTGTAAGTTCTTCACACTGTAGTATGTAGAATACAGATGTGTAAGGTGTATTATTGATCAAATAATTAGGCAATGCAGAATCCTGCAGAATATGTATCATACATGGTGCAGGGCGATGCTTCTAATGCGTTTACATAAATATGGCAAAATTAGATGTGTCCCAGAAACCATGGTGGATATGATAACCCTAGTTATGACGAATGAGAAGACTTTTAAAAACTGAAGACAGAAGTGGCTGTCTGGTAACCCATAATGGTTTGTTTTCTGAAACATTGCTATTTCTCAAAAAAATTACATGGTTTACATTGTCAGAGAAAAGGGACATTAATATGTAGTTTTTATGGATCTTAGAGTGCCTCTTCAACAAATTATTTACATTTACAGAGCACAACATATTCCGCAGCACTTTACATTTCTAGAAAGGGATTATTCGACAACAAGTAATTCTCCATCTCAATCTATGTGAAAGAGCTTACAACCTATGAGAAAGAGCTGACAATCTACGAGAAAGAGATGACAATCTATGTAAAAGAGCTGAAAATCTATGAGAAAGAGCTGACTATCTATGTGAAAGAGCTGAAAATCTAAGTGAAAGAGCTGACAATCTATGAGAAAGAGCTGAAAATCAACGTGAAAGAGCTGACAATCTACGAGAAAGAGCTGACAATCAATGTGAAAGAGGCTGCAGTCTTGTCAGTGGAAGGGCAGTAATCAGGACTGGCTGTATGGGCACAGGTAATGACTGTACCTCTGGTGTTTGTACGTGTGTGCTCATGTGTGACAGTGTGTATGGGGCTCTTTATTATATTCTGGTTTAGGTGGCTACATTTATTTTAAACATCTTTAATGTGTGTTTGCATTAGAGTTCAATATTAATTTCCTCTCTAGTTCTTTTGATGATGTCTGTGCTATGTTTGTGGCTTGCAACCTTATAGATGGGCCACCACAGCTAAGAAATGCCCAGGCAATAAACAGCACAATTTGGCAATGAAGGCTTTAAACCAAATGAAAGCAGTTGCACAGAGCCACCTCCTCCCCATCCTCGTTCCACTAACACCCTCAACGGACACAAGTAATTGATTGAAGGGAGATCCCAGATTAACCCAGGATTAAATCCTTTATCCGATTTGATCTGTGATTTAACGCCACTGCTGGAAGGCGGACTAGAGAGAGTGACTTCTCAGGGTGAGAAGGACAAGTGAACACTATTTATATATAATCAATTAACAGCCCTTGACCCCTTAACTTATCATCGCCATAGGATACATATTAATGGGGGCTATTCACAAAACAGGGAGTTTGCAGTCCTCCTGGCTGGATAGTGAACAGACCTTTAATCTACCATGTGCTGGCTACCAAAACTCACTCGATACTTGCCAGCTTAGAGTGCAAGCTCTTCAACCAATGCTTAAAATACTGGTCAGTTCATGTGCTCATATATTAATATATGCTTGTACATGAATTGCAGCGAGTACCTAGAACAGACACCATGCAAAAGCAGTTACTTAAAACATCCCTTAAATATTTATACATGTGAGGGGCTACTCGTATTACATCAGAGATTTGTTCTATAAACATGGAACATGGAATTCTGGAAAGCCAACCAAGGAGGAAATTGAAAATACTGAATTTAAGAAACTATCCAATTTCTGTACTTTGTCCTAAAATGTGCAATTCTCTTGTCAGTTTTCCATAACTCCCAGTTTGGAGGACGAACCCCATACAGTAAATGTGAGGTTTTTAGGTCAGTTCGGAGCTGATTTTAGTCTCCCGTCACAGTCTGTGTCACTGTATTAGGAAGCTCGGAGCGTGTTTCTGCACCCTCTGGTAGTTAAAGAGTTAATCTCTGTGCAGTCGGTCATGTTTTGGGGTTTCAGGGTGCGTGGGTGTAATTGTCTTGTTTCCAAAGGTTCGGCCTCTGTCTTGACCTGCTTTGGAAGCTTTGTATCCCAGAATTTAGAGCAGAATCTGCTTGGCCAGGCCATCTCTGGTGATTGTTCTACAGACAAATTAACCTGTTTCTGAAGAATTCAATGTGTTTATAAGTCTGTCTCCCAGCTCAGACCCAGAGACTCGGTATTAAACGTTTCATGCTCCAGAGGACATGCTTGGATGTCTCCTGCCCTAGAGATTATACGAGACTGACATTAGATTGAGACATTTTTATTACTCAGGATTACAGGACATGTTGTGTGCTCAGAACAACTTCCCGTTTCTTGCTTGTCGGAGTTCCTCTTTAGGTTTCTACTATCACATAATAGAAAATGATACGATAGGAGTGAAAGGAAAGCGCTTAAAAATTTAAAAATAACAAATAATGAATTAGTAAATAGCAGCTGTGACGCTCGGTGGACACTCCCCAGAATTCCACAAATGCAAAAATACCAAAAACAAAGCTTAATGTTTAGGTGACCCACCAAAACCATAATGAACGAGTGGGGTGCTTATGAATTACACATACCCCTTAGATGTACTGAGGTGTGAAAAGTGTAAACATATAGAATAAAAAAATAAAAAAACACATAATAGTGTAATACATATTGCATAAATATAAATCAGACAGTGAATGATAAGTGATGGGAACTCACATTTGGTAGAACCTTTTATGGAGAAAGGCTCTAAACATAGGGCCAAGAGTGCCCTTACAGCATCAGAGCGACCTTCTTGGGTGGCTGTGCAGCACGTAACTCCAACGGTATGTAAATAAAGAAACACAAATTCCTGACCCAATAGTGTTAAAACCACCATTTAGGTGGCTTGCTCCCTTAGCCCCCTTAAAAGGTAAAACAAAACCGTACTTTATTTCCTGCGCTGGCTGGCCCCGCCCCCCATCTTTTACATTAAAAACCATATTTCAAAAAAAATCTAATACTCATTAAAGTGGTAACAGTTCAAATATTTTTCTCATAAAATGTGACACAATTCAAAATCTACAGTCAGACCAAATCGACTTACAGTATTCTCTCCTCCTTAAGCTTTTAATATTGTCCGATAGCTATAAACTGTAAGTGCTCCTAGTCACTAATGAGTATTTGTTTGAAATGCAGTGAAACGTTATGTTTTTCAGAACCGGTTGTTTTATTTCTAACAATGTCCAGAACAAGAGGAGGATGACATTTTTAGAGAAATGGGTAATTAGATTTTTTTTTTGCTTTTTAAAGGCAGTATTTACAGTGCTAACACTGTAGGGACATGCTACAGACACCATAACCACTACATTAAGTGTCCCTTTAAGAATTGACTGTCATTACACTGTATCTATTGTGTAAACTAATTAATATAAGACAGACAGAATCAGGGTGCTAGTTACATCATAACTCATGCAGTGCCACCTGCTGGTCAAATGGAATACTGCCTTATTCAGCTTTGTAACTTTCCCTGACCTACAGAAGGTCTGGGTTTGTGTATTGCGGTACATTATAAAGAAATACTATCAATAATTATTTCCATACAGGTAAGGGAGAAAGAGAACTAATGGAATCTGTTACAATTATTACAACATGCAGCCAAGCAAATAGTGCTACTGCAAGATTTATAAGATTTATAAAATGTACAAAGAAAAAGATTTATAAAATGTACAAAGAAAAAGAAAAACCTGGATCAGCCAAAAATGAGTGTTAAGGCAGAATACCTTGCGTCAGTACGATTATGGGTGATTAAATACTCTGTATTTCTCATTTCCCCATACGTTTTGGGATACGTGTATTATATAAATTACTGCACGAACCTGCCGAGCCTGACCAACGCGTTTAGCACTGTGTGTTCTTAATTTCACTGTCTGTTTGGGCTGGTGGGAATTATTTTTCAATTCATCGAGTTCCTATAATATATCGGAATAAAGTTACGGGTTCTTTATACCATATATCTGGTCAAGATCACGGTGTGTGAATTGTATTTGTTCTTTATGTGCAATTTAGGAGATGTCTGCTATTATGGGAGTACAGGGATCTTCGCAATCGGCACTTCGTTTTAGTTACTTTAACATGTTTGTACAGAAAGAAACAAGGGGCAGATATAAATTAATAATTCTGTTGCAGACATAGAAACATAGAAACATAGAATGTGATGGCAGATAAGAACCATTCGGCCCATCTAGTCTGCCCAATTTTCTAAATACTTTCATTAGTCCCTGGCCTTATCTTAACAATACAACTATGTCCTTTTTACTGTAACCTTGTAATAGAGCAGCAGGAAATGCTAGCAGAATGCTTGGTTGTATAGGGAGAGGTATTAGCAGTAGAAAGAGGGAAGTGCTCATGCCATTGTACAGAACACTGGTGAGACCTCGCTTGGGAGTGTTAGGATAGCCTTATGCCTATCCCACACATGCTTAAACTCCTTTACTGTGTTAACCTCTACTGGAAGGCTATTCCATGCATCCACTACCCTCTCAGTAAAGTAATACTTCCTGATATTATTTTTAAACATTTGTCCCTCTAATTTAAGACTATGTCCTCTTGTTGTGGTAGTTTTTCTTCTTTTAAATATAGTCTCCTCCTTTACTGTGTTGATTCCCTTTATATATTTAAATGTTTCTATCATATCCCCCCTGTCTCGTCTTTCCTCCAAGCTATACATGTTAAGATCCTTTAACCTTTCCTGGTAAGTTTTATCCCGCAATCCATGAACCAGTTTAGTAGCCCTTCTCTGAACCCTCTCTAAGGTATCAATATCCTTCTGAAGATACGGTCTCCAGTACTGTGTACAATACTCCAAGTGAGGTCTCACCAGTGTTCTGTACAATGGCATGAGCACTTCCCTCTTTCTACTGCTAATACCTCTCCCTATACAACCAAGCATTCTGCTAGCATTTCCTGCTGCTCTATTACAAGGTTACAGTAAAAAGGACATAGTTGTATTGTTATGTCTTGAACAGTGTGTAATTTCTGTATGATAATACTAACCTATTTTCCCCTTCACCCACAGGAGTTTTATAATTCCAAAAAACAGAAAATTATAGATTGGCTGAGAGTGTCAGCTGATTGCCACTGCTTATATGAATCAGTATGGGTAGAAGGAAGTGTTTAATCTCTGCCGTAGCCACACCTCCTGTGGGGGTAGGGTTATGGAAAGCCAGGGATCCTCATTCAGTGTTAAAAGTCTTAAAAATGGTTTAACACTGAATGGAGGGACAGAGTCAGGTAGTGACATTACAATGGCTACTATAAAAGACTGGACATGCCCCATTTGCAATACCTTGGGTTGTCTACTATTGCAAATGGTATGCCATCATGGGGGCAATTCTCATTCCTGGGCTACCATACGGTCTCAAAGGCAACGTAACCAATCTGGCAAATTTCAATGTGAAAAAAATGAAAAATGTAACATGCTATATTTGACCCTGTAACTTCCCAAAACGCCATAAAACCTGTACTTAGGGGGTACTGTTTTACACATGAGACAGTGGCGTACACACAATCCATGGGGCCCCGGTGCATAACTGATCTGTGGGCCCTAATCTGGAGTGCCGGGCCCGGTTGCAGCTGCGACCCCTGCGACCACGGTATGTACACCGCTGACAGGAGACATCGCTGAATACAAATATGTGTATTTTATTGCAGTAAAAGCAAACAGTATTATGACATTGACTGTTAAAATGTCATGTAGAACTAAAAAAAATTAAACAAAATACTATTTTCTCCCATTTGTTTCATATTAAATTATGTTTCATAGCTAAATATTTGATATTAAATGAAAGCCCTGTTTCCCCTGAATAAAATGATATATAATAAGGGTGGGTGCATTTAATATGAAAAAGGTGAATTACGGTTGGACAGACATGTAGCGCAAATGCCAGGTTTTGTTTACGTTTTGTTTTGATCACAACTTGTACATTTTGCTCAGTCCTTAAGGGGTTAAACTGAAACTGCAACTTATAATGAATTATTCATCCCCTTTGTGGTAAGCATTTTAGTACTTAGCATTTTACTGACCTGCTGCCAACAAGCTGAATAGCCAGCTTCTGGCACAAGAAATAAAGAATAAACATGTTTTTGGGTCGTTTAGGGATTTGAAAATTTATAATTTTGACATTATCACCAAAGATCAAACAAACCATCCCTGAATGCAGAGAGTAATATAATATTATAGATAGATATAGAATGTGCTGAGAATGTGTACAATGCACAGAGCAGGATTAGAGATAAGGGGAATTTTGGCAGCCCCCATGGGATAAACAGGGAGCCCCCACTATGGGATTATCAGGGACCTACCATGGGAAAAACAGGGGCGCCTATGGGATATACAGGGAGCCCCCCATGTGATTAGCAGGGACCCACCATGGGAAAAACAGGGGGCGCCCATGGGATATACAGGGGGCCCCCATGGGATAAACAGGGGGCGCCCGTGGGATAAACAGGGGGGTGCCCGTGGGAGAAACAGGGGGTGCCCATGGGATAATACAGGGGGCCCCCATAGGATAAACAGGAGCTGTGGAACCAAACATTTACTTGTTGGCCCTATTCACCATCCCTATGTAAACAATAAGACAGGGGCCCAAGCTGGTAACCTGCTTTGCCCCCCCCAGCCCCCCAGCCCTAGCATTTTATTGTTCTCTGAAAATGCAGACAAAGTAAAGAGTTTCTCTAATGCCATGACCCTTAGATCCCGTTCCTGGTAAACAGGATGCTATCTAGAACATCCAGAACTCAGACTCCCTCCGTGTTCGGACTGATAAGGTTCTCATGTGACTGCTTCTCAGCTAATATCAACAGACGAGTTGTCCGTAACCCCCACACTCCATAACAAGCACCACTGACAGCAAACCGAGTGTGGAACAAGGACAGCCATGGCTCAGCCACTATTTATCCTTGTTGGCCTTCTGCTGGCCTTTGGCTTTTCACGTAAGTTGGAGTTCACCTAGAACTCTGTAGAGCGTGCAGTATGTGGAAGGGTGAGCAGGAGATGATTGTATAAAGATACTTTATATAGGGGTTTGTACAGAGTATTATGTACTCTGGTAAAATATGTTTTCATCCAAATGTTGAATTCCATCTAATGTCCACACACCTTGCGCCCAGCTCAATGTGGAACGTACCCACTGGACAATGATATACATTTGGTTTTTCGTTATCCGTGTTCCAGTATTTATTCAGAGGAGGACAGTGGGAACGTGGAATCCTAGCAGGAGCACTGTCTATGCTGTACATGTAGTTAGTCTTGTAGGGTTGTTTACTAGTGAGAATTCAGAGTACATTTCAGTTTTAAGGCCAGGCTAGCTAATGTAGAAGAACAGCTGACTTAGAGATTGTTTCTAGTTAAGCAATTTTAACTTAAATTTGAAATTCTCACTTTTGTAAATATTGCTGCCAATCTCTGCCTCCAATTTACTAGTCCAGTCTCTGTGAAATCTCGTGTGCAGTGAGTTTGTGGTTGGAAATGTTGTGTTAATATCATTTCCTTCATTCTCGATTCCAGAAGCCAAACTTGATGTTATAGCTGATACCGAACCAGTGATTGTGAAGCCAGGAGAAAAGGTACAGCTGAAATGTATCCTACAAATTGATGCAAAGCAGTTGCAGGTGAAGGATTTCATGATTCAGTGGTTCACCAAGGGGAGGCAGGTGGCAGAGTTTGATACAAAAATCACCATTGATAAACCAGGCCTGTCACTGTCCGAGGAAGCTCTGAAGAAAGGAGACGGCACACTGACTATTGCTTCGGCCACAGTGGAAGATAGTGGAAACTATCGATGCTACCTGACATATAAATCAGATCTCAGCATCAAATCCTTAGTTCTGAAGGTTGATGGTAAGTGGGAACTTCATACATTGTATCAGATCTTATATCCCTATAATCAGTGTTCCTCCAGGAAGGAAACATTAACAGGGCTATTCATTAAAGTGAGAATTCAAAGTGAATGGGATCTTTAAGGCGAGAGTGACCAACCTGAACCCACAGCTGGATTAGGGAATTGCCCAGTTTGGCTATTTTATCTTAAAATGTGAAATTCACTTTCACAATTTCTCCAATTTCCCAGCCTGTCCTGGGACATCAATGCTATGTATTGTATATATTGTATGTGGTAAACTGACACGAGTCGTTCTAGAACGCTGTATGATTAGCTCTGCTTTATAAACGTTCCATTATTAACTGAACAAGTCACAACGTGCAACTTGTTTGCAATGTACGGGCTTGTAAAGACAAACTGAATAAAATTGCAGTATCCATTCCTGGACAACAAGGGGTATTGTGATACAGAGAGCAACGTTTGGGCTTTATTTACTAAACACTGAATCAAAATCCAAATGGCTAAAATGATGTTGGCTACATTGACATTGTGGCAGGCTTATGCAATGTATGATCATATAATGTAACTAACTCCCCATTATTTGCCTAGATTAGGTGTTTTTAAAAAAAAAAACATTTAGAAAAAACTTTTTCAAAAATGAATAAAATCTGTCAACATTGAATTTGCTGTTTAGTAGATAGGAGACTGCGCTGGATCTTGTGTATTGTTTATTGTATAATATGGCCCCCAGCAGCACCCTATTTAAGCATGTTCAGGTGAGTGCAACCAACCCCGGATGTTTCATATATGGCCAAAATGTCAAGCCTGGACTGAGCTGGATAATGTGACCAAAGGTTTTAGCCTCATTTTTCCAGTTTGGTTTTCAGTTTAGTACAATTCCTAGTTTAGTGAATAAATCTTATTATTATTATTATTATTATTTATATAGCGTCAACAAATTCCGTAGCGCTTTACAATATTATCAAAGGGGGAGATTTAACAATAAATGAGACAATTACAAAAATGTACAGGAACAACAGGATGAAAAGGACCCTGCTCAAACGAGCTTCCAGTCTATACTATGAATGCTATTTAGTAGAATTGGTGACTTAACATAAACAAGGGATAATCATTTTATTATTTATGTCTTTACATTTTAAAAAGTTCTGTTTGTTGAAACAGAACCAATAAGTCCATTCATTCCAAATTGGGATTCCCATGTGAGAAACGCTGTGAGCATCGACCTTCCTGTCTCTCTATTAAGCCCCTATTTAGACAGTTAGACTAGAGCCTTTTTAAGGGAGGAAATACAAATTCAGAGAGAGAGATAAAAATATACAGGGCTTTTCACTAAAGGGAGAATTTAGAGTGAATTCAAAATTAATTTCAATTTTAATGTAAAAATTAATGAATTTGAAAAATTCTCTCAGTCAGTCATACTTCCAGCTACTTTGGTCTAAAATGTGAAATTAACTCTGAATTTCAAATTTAAGGTCAGAGTAGTCGATCTGGATGAATATCTCTAGCTTGGCTATTCTGACCTTAAATTTTAAACTCCCTTGAAATACTTACTTTAGTAAATAATGATTTAAGTGAATTCAAAGTAAATGTAATGACAAACTCACCACGCTCCCAGCTTGGATACTTTGCCTTAAATTTGAATTTCACTTTGAACTAATTTTGAAATAGTTCTAGTGAATAACCCTGAGAGACAGACAGCGAGAAACATTAAATTTTTATAACAGGAGCAGAAGTAAGACATTGTCAGAGCTCAGATGGAGTTAAATATGTGTATATTAATTTATTGGTAAAGTCCCATTAGCTCACAGAGAAACATGGAGGCACACTGGCTCAGGAATAAATGGCCTGTATCTTTAATGGACATGATGTGTTATTCTCAGACTAGGTTTAATGTTTTTATTTACCATTTCTTCTATAAAACAATGCATGTTCCGTAATGGCGACAATAATGTCACACGTGTCTGTTATGTTTCAGATCCCAACAAGCCGAAAGAAGACGAGAGCTTTGAGTTTTCTGACACCGTTCTGACCAAAAAGGTCGATAAAGTCATTGACTGGTTTGGGAAGTTTGATGCAAAAATGGATGAATTGCTGAAAGAAACAAAGAAATGTCATCCACAAGGAAAAGCCACCCCAGCAAAATAAACGGAAATCCTGTGTGTCGACGCGTTTCTCGGCATCCGTCTCTGCTTCCTATCTCTGCTTCAAATTTACTAAAAGCCGAAACAATATTCACTGAACCGTGCGTTGGCAGCCAGATTGTAGATTTAAGACAAAAATAGCACAATTGGAGAAAAAAAAAACTAACACATCATTTTTTTTTTATATATATTTTAATATAATTAACTAACTTTGACCTAAATTTAGCAATTTTGTTGCCAACTTATATCAACTGTTTAGTGAATACATTTTTAACTTTCACTGCTCAGAAAACTGTCAAAACATATTTGATTTGCACTATTTCTACTTGTGATTAACTTAATGTTAAAACATGAAAAATACTATCATTTACGTTGTTTTAGTTATACAAAAAATACTTTAATTAGTAATTACTGTTTTCAAGCCAAACACAGTGAATTCACAGGTTGTCCAACCAATCACAGGGTAGATTTGCAGGATGTCCAGCCAATCACAGGGTAGATTCCCAGGATGTCCGGCCAATCAGATTTTCATTCTATTCATTTGTGCATTGACATAGCCAACTATTTAGTAGATTAGGTATTTTAAAGGGAAATACATATTAAATGCGCTGTATTGGGGTTTATGGTGTTGATGCAAGTTTCTATATAATAAAATATTTTTTTCTGTTTCTCGCACTTTTGACTGATATTCGTTTATTTGGTGCACTATATATGGAGTAATAGGAGGGTTATATGGAGTAATAGGAGGAGTTATAGGAAGGGTTATATGGAGTAATTGGAGGAGTTATAGGGAGGGTTATATGGAGTAATATGAGAAGTTATAGGGAGGGTTATATGGAGTAATAGGAGGAGTTATAGGGAGGGTTATATGGAGTAATAGGAGGAGTTATAAGGAGGGTTATATGGAGTAATAGGAGGAGTTATAGGGAGGGTTATATGGAGTAATAGGGGGAGTTATAAGGAGTAATAGGAGGGTTTATAGGGAGGTTATATGGAGTAATAGGAGGAGTTATAGGGAGGGTTATATGGAGTAATAGGAGGAGTTATAGGGAGGGTTATATGGAGTAATTGGAGGGGTTATAGGGAGGGTTATATGGAGTAATAGGAGGAGTTATAAGGAGGGTTATATGGAGTAATAGGGGGAGTTATATGGAGTAATAGGAGGGGTTATAGGGAGGGTTATATGGAGTAATAGGAGGAGTTATAGGGAGGGTTATAGGGAGTAATAGGGGGGGTTATAGGGAGGGTTATATGGAGTAATAGGAGGGGTTATAGGGAGGGTTATATGGAGTAATAGGAGGAGTTATAGGGAGGGTTATATGGAGTAACAGGAGGAGTTATAGGGAGGGTTATATGGAGTAATAGGAGGGGTTATAGGGAGGGTTATATGGAGTAATAGGAGGGGTTATACGGAGGGTTATATGGAGTAATAGGAGGAGTTATAGGGAGGGTTATATGGAGTAATAGGAGGAGTTATAGGGAGGGTTATATGGAGTAATAGGAGGAGCTATAGGGAGGGTTATATGGAGTAATAGGAGGGGTTATATGGAGGGTTATATGGAGTAATAGGAGGAGTTATAGGGAGGGTTATATGGAGTAATAGGAGGGGTTATAGGGAGGGTTATATGGAGTAATAGGAGGGGTTATAGGGAGGGTTATATGGAGCAATAGGAGGAGTTATAGGGAGGGTTATATGGAGTAATAGGAGGAGTTATAGGGAGGGTTATATGGAGTAATAGGAGGAGTTATAGGGAGGGTTATATGGAGTAATAGGAGGAGTTATATGGAGTAATAGGAGGAGTTATAGGGAAGGTTATATGGAGTAATAGGAGGAGTTATAGGGAGGGTTATATGGAGTAATAGGAGGAGTTATAAGGAAGGGTTATATGGAGTAATAGGAGGAGTTATATGGAGTAATAGGAGGAGTTATAGGGAGGGTTATATGGAGTAATAGGAGGAGTTATAGGGAAGTTATATAGAGTAATATGAGGAGTTATATGGAGTAATAGGAGGAGTTATAGGGAAGTTATATAGAGTAATAGGAGGAGTTATATGGAGTAATAGGGGGAGTTATAGGGAGCAATAGGAGGAGTTATAGGGAGGGTTACATAGCGTAACACTATATTGTGCTCCCATAGTCATGCTAAGATATATATAATATACACAGTTACAGTCTGCGTATTATGTGGATATGGGACTGTGCGTTCTATATATTGCCATATTATTGTAGTGAGATTATTATGGAGATATCTAAACAATCCCAGGTCAGGGCAGGTGACATTGTGTATTGCATTACTTTCCTTTATACATTGTTACAATATCAGTGAGTATGGGAGGAGCTAGCTCTATATTGGGGGAGGGGCTTGCCCTCTGAGGGCTTATCTCCTGCAAAGACTCAGTACAGCAAGAACGTACTCTCCATGCAACATGGCCCGGACCATCAACACGTGGCTCTATCTCCTGACTTACCTCTGTAAGTATGCACTCACACTCACAAACTCACAAATCCACTCACTCACTCACTCAGAATGTAATCTCTGTAAGTATGCACTCACACTCAGAAACTCACAAATTCACTCACTCACTCAGAATGTATTCTCTGTAAGTATTCACTCACTGGTTTATTGATGCACTCATAGTACCGTTGCTTTGTTTATACTTCATGTTTGCACTAACTTGTAGACATTTACTCATTTACTTTGTTTCCACACTAAGTATGCACTCACACTCACTTTTTCCACAAACACTCACTTGGATTCTCAGTTCTCTGTTTTATCTGTCTGTCTAATGATTGCTCAGTAAGTGCCCTCAGATTAAGAAGCTCACTCTATTCTCCGTTTGCACTCACACTGAGTGGTTCCACGGTTTGTTTTTGCTGTGAATATTCACTCCAATAAATATTACTATGTTCTCTCTATATAAGCTTGCAGTCAGTGCACACTCAGACAGTCGGGGTGCTGGGGTGAGTCTGTCTGGACCGGTCGCTGTGCATGTTGGGTATTTTCTCTCTATATAAGCTTGCAGTCAGTGCACACTCAGACAGTCGGGGTGCTGGGGTGAGTCTGCCTGGACCGGTCGCTGTGCATGTTGGGTATTTTCTCTCTATATAAGCTTGCAGTCAGTGTACACTCAGACAGTCGGGGTGCTGGGGTGAGTCTGCCTGGACCGGTCGCTGTGCATGTTGGGTATTTTCTCTCTATATAAGCTTGCAGTCAGTGCACACTCAGACAGTCGGGGTGCTGGGGTGAGTCTGCCTGGCCCGGTCGCTGTGCATGTTGGGTATTTTCTCTGTATATAAGCTTGCAGTCAGTGTACACTCAGACAGTCGGGGTGCTGGGGTGAGTCTGCCTGGCCCGGTCGCTGTGCATGTTGGGTATTTTCTCTCTATATAAGCTTGCATTCAGTGCACACTCAGACAGTCGGGGTGCTGGGGTGAGTCTGCCTGGACCGGTCGCTGTGCATGTTGGGTATTTTCTCTCTATAAGCTTGCAGTCAGTGCACACTCAGACAGTCGGGGTGATGGGGTGAGTCTGCCTGGACCGGTTGCTGAGCATGTTGGGTATTTTCTCTCTATATAAGCTTGCAGTCAGTGCACATTCAGACAGTCGGGGTGCTGGGGTGAGTCTGCCTGGACCGGTCGCTGTGCATGTTGGGTATTTTCTCTCTATATAAGCTTGCGGTCAGTGTACACTCAGACAGTCGGGGTGCTGGGGTGAGTCTGTCTGGACCGGTCGCTGTGCATGTTGGGTATTTTCTCTCTATATAAGCTTGCAGTCAGTGTACACTCAGACAGTCGGGGTGCTGGGGTGAGTCTGCCTGGACCGCTCTCTGTGCATGTTGGGTATTTTCTCTCTATATAAGCTTGCAGTCAGTGTACACTCAGACAGTCGGGGTGCTGGGGTGAGTCTGCCTGGACCGGTCGCTGTGCATGTTGGGTATTTTCTGTTTGAATCCTGTTTGCTGACAATTGCTGGATTCCTTTGTAGAGGTCTTTATGGCAGTTTAGGACAACTGTTGTCCAGTCAATGATGTGTCCAGAGCAGACTTTCCATGAAAATTGCCTATTCACGACCTATCTTATCAGCCAGAGAGCTGTTTAAAGTCTGTTGGTTCATGTAATCTTGTAACGCAGGATTCTTTTTACATAAACTCTTAATAGCTGCTGTTCTATTTGTTCCATGGCTTGTGGTGAGCAATTGTGGTCTGTAATGCTTCTGATGTCTTCATGACCCCCGATAAGGGCAATCACCAATGCTCGCAATAAACAGCTACACATTTCAGATTAATGTAACAGTCCTGGCCCTCTGTAACGATGTGTCGAACTTGAGACACTGTATTATTCCCATTTCACCCCGTGGACCTATGTGAGCAGAACATTAAACAATGAAGGATTGGGGGTGACAAGTGTTGGGTCTTTCGACTTAGACGATTCCTTGGCCGATGTTGGACGAGTCGGCTAGTTTATGGTCGGATATCATACCAAGTTCTCTGTGTTCGTCTTCATGAGGCACAATGGAGTTACAGCAAGAGAAACAGACACTGACTTGGGCCTAATCCAAATTCTTCGTCTTCAGTGAAACCTTCACACAAAGCTCCAGTGTGTTAACGAACCTCAAAATAGAACAAATAATGTCATTGATAATTTGCAAAGCAATAAAATAGTGTAAAAAAATAAAACCCTGTGATTTTATTATAAAACTATTGCAACAAAATACTTGCAGAAAAATCTTTGTACTTTGTATCTATTTTGGTGTAGTTGCTGTGATGATGTTTATTGTGTGTGTTGAGACAAAGTATTTCCCCTGTAAAAAGAAAATTTGAGGGATGATGTTTTTTTGTCGGTTCGGGTCAGCAGAACTTTGGTGCCTGAAAACCAATTCGGAAAATGAATCAGATGAAATAAATAGGAGCGAAAATGGGCCAATCGGTTTACTACTAAATATCTACATGATGTAATATTATGTCTATCGTTTTTAGTAGAATGATATCAGCATTTTCCCACCATTCCATTCACAGATCCTGTTAGAAAAAGTAACCAGTAGATGGGAAAGTGGGGCAGTAGTAATAAAAGTATATTTCTAAATTACATATCTATTAAATATATACCAATATCATATTTTATATATATAGTTCCTCTTTGCCCCCCCTTTATCGGTCACATCCCACTTGATTTGTCAATAAAATCGGTAGCTGTCAGTCATCTCTTTTTCCCATAAATAATCTTTTTTTTTTTGCTGCCCCGGGTACAGAGTTCATGAATTCGTCCTGTTATCTGATCTCCAAATCTAGGGTATATATTGTGCCAGCAGTCATGCACGTGCAAACATGCTAACTCTTTAAATCATAATTTCACTGCCTTTCAATTCAGTTTTTATATCTCCAACTGGGCAGGGTTGTTTTACATTTCTGTAAAAGTATAGTTCAATAAAATGCTATAAAATCTATGAGATATGTTAGGAGGAATGAAAGATGCTAATTTCTTTTTCAAGGGGACACATTCATTAAAGTAAATAGGTAATTATTATGCATTAATACATAATGCATTAAAGTAAATAGGTAATTATTTTAAAAAATGTATATTTAACTTCAAAGTTCCTTAAATTGCAGCATTTGCTCAGACACCAAACAGGTGCAAATTCGCATAAGAAATGTCGATGTTAACAGAGATGGAGACAGTTTTGTAAACAGTAATCCTACAGGACGCTGCGCTATGGAATTTGCTGGCGCTATATAAATAATAAAATAATAATAATGCTGAGGATTGTTAATGTAAATGTGTGTTTGTGTCACGTACAGGTCTCTGCTGCCTTATCCCAGTGCGATGTGCAGGTTTATTTTGGAAACTCCACGACAAAGTGATCCTGGAATGTCCGTTCAGGGAGAAGGGTCTGGGAGTGGATCTAAATAAAGTGACGATGCGCTGGGACCATGACGGACGGATACTGGCCGAGTACAGGGCAGGAGAAGACAACATCACGATTTCTGATCCCCGAGTCAAAATGTCGATGGAAGAATTAGGACAAGGAAAAGCACCAATAAATCTGTTTAATCTCACACTGACAGACAGCGGAAAATACACGTGCTTAGTCCAATATGGAAACCAGATGGTGCCATTTCAGTACAGAGTGCAGGTGAAAGGTGAAGAATTTATAGTGATTATTATTATTTATTATAATTATTTTGTTGGGTTTAATTGAATCGGGATACAAAATAATGCAGCAATTAAGGAAAAACATGATAATAAAAGTCAGTAAATGTTTAAAGTGACCCTTGTCATGACACATTCACTCCAATCGAAAATCATCACCTAAGAAATGGATACATTGTTTATCATATAGAAAGAAAATCATTATTAATTAATCAATTAAGCAACCACTTACTTTTCCATGTTCATCCGTGGATGTTATACCAATGTATCTCTCACTTTCTCTCTAAAAATACCAGCCCCCTCCGACTATTTGATCCTGTCTGGTAAGACTACCCAAAGCAGGTTTAGACTATTAATCATTGCGCATGATGTGCATTCTGTTAGTCTGTTTCTATATTCCTGGGGCACAGAGCACTACATAAGGAAACATGCATGGGTTCTCCTGCTCTTCCTGTCAATCAGTCTTTGAATAGCCTTTTGTGCCAGGGATTGATTGACAGTTGAGGGGAGGGACTATATCTTTATATAACTTTTTCATAAAATGTATTAATTTCCTATTATTTCTAGCCCAAAGAAAAATAACATGTATTGGTATATAATAGTATAATTTATAATTTAAGTGATATATTTAGACATTGTTTTAGAATTATAAAGACATTAATTTTGTAATAAACCAATATTATATTATTTAATATATGGTCTAGCTTATTCATTTTTTAATGTATAAATAGTTAGACTTGCGTTTTGGAATTTATTTGTGATAAAGGAAATGGAAGAAAATACCCAGGATAAATAATAGACAGTATTTTTAAGATGTCGAATGACTTGTCTTCACACATATGATATCCATACATATGTACGGATGCTGACATGTACAGATAGCGAGCCAAGCTCTGGATTACAGGCTGTAGTAATAGGTGGTTCCTTTTTAAATCTGTTCCTTTTTAAATCTCTAGAAAGTCCATAGCTTCACTGAGTTTTTTTTTGTGGGGAGTCAGCGGATTTAAAAGGCTAAAAACAGATAAGATCTATTTTATTAAATCACTGGTTTAAAGGGGTTTAAAGGGACACTGTAGGCACCCAGACTTCTTCAGCTCATTGATGTGGTCTGGATGCAGTGTCCTTATTGCCCTTTGTGCTGCAGATCCAGAGAAATTGCAATGTTTACATTGCAGCACTAAGTCTGCCTCTAGTGGCTGTTTAAAACTTTAAATTGATTTGTCCACCTATATGGGTAGCATGATGTAGAGTTTGGGGGACATTATATTATAACCGTGACCCAGGACCATCCTCTCCTGCCTTTCTGCCTACACATAATAGAGAAGATTGGACACACATTGGCATTAACTAAAGAAAATTTGGAGAGATAGCTTTTCACAATAATCCCATCCCCACCTAGAGAACATACATTAAATGGACACTTCACCACCTAAATAAATGAAAAAATCACTATTTAGTAGATACATCCCAACTAAAAACATACCTACATTTAATTGTGAATTTTTTTCATTGGTAGTATATATAAATACATTTCACTCTTTTCTGCAACCCTTGCAAGCCCTCCCCTTCTAGCCCCGCCCAGACTTTCTGTGGCTGTCCAATCACAGACTTCCCAATGCAGCTCAATGAGAAGTCTTTACAAGGCAGGTGCTCTGGGCAATTGCTGCCTCTTGAGTTTATCTCAATTGAGCTAAACAAACCAGGAAGTAACAGGACCAGGTTCATTTGTAAAAGTGCCAATTTCTATTGAAATCTACACTTTTTGTAAAATGAAAAAAAGAGGACACACTCTTCATACATAAAGCACTTCAGCAAGATAAACTGAATTAAACTATGAAGTGCACCCCACAATTCATTAACTAAAGTGCATTTTTATATTTATATACATATCATAATTAAATTACACACGTATACACATCATAATTAAATTGCACACGTATATATGTGTGTATATATAATATAAAATATAAATAATAAGCAAAATAAAAATAAATTAAAAATTAAAAAATAATTAAAAAAATTATATATGTATATGTAATTTTATTCTAACTGTATTTTGATACAGATAGAATAACTCAAAATACACTTGGAATGAAATTATATCTATATATCTATGTATATATAAATAAATACAAATAATCCGAAATATATAAATCCAAATACAAAATTCCATAAATAATTTCACAAATATACATGTAGACTGCAAATATATAAGTATGTATATATATTTAAATTCTACATGCATATTTATGTAATATTATTAAGTAATTTTAATGATTGCAATTTGCGGGACCTGCCTGACAACCCAGGCTGAAAGTCCAGAGAATTTAATTTGCTAGCACTATAGTTAACCCTATTACTACATATATATCCAGGGGATGCAGCTGATCTGGGAGCTTTGTATGCACTGAGACTAGTGGCACCAACTTCTTGTTTGTTTTTTGTATTTTGTATATATTGGGGTTAAGCCCCTTGAGACCCCTGGAGTCTCTCTGCGGTACTTAGGATATTGGGTTAGACCTGTCACTATCCCATTCTTTGGGTTAAGTGTATGGGTAAATACCTATATTCTTATTTTCGTTCCAATAATTAATCCTCTAACTTTCCAGGACACCATAAAACCTGTAAATGGGGGGGGTAATGTTATACTTGGGAGACTTCGCTGAACACTAATATTAGCGATTCAAAACAGTAAAACATATGACAGCGATGATATTGTCAGTGAAAGTGACTTTTTTGCATTTTTCACACACAAACCGCACTTTTACTGATGACATAATTGCTGTGATACGTTTTACTGTTTTGAAACAAAGCTAATATTTGTGTTCAGCGAAGTCTCCCAAGTATAACAGTACCCCCCATGTAGCGGTTTTATAGTGTTTTTGAAAGTTACAGGGTCAAATATAAGGCTTGATTTCCCTTTTTTTTTTTACATTGAAATTTGCCAGATTGGTTTGCTGGGCCTATGTTGCCTTTGAGAGCGTATGGTAGCCCAGGAATGAGATTTACCCCCATGATGGCATACCATTTGCAAAAGAAGACAACCCAAGGTATTGCAAATGGGGTATGTCCAGTCTTTTTTAGTAACCACTTATTCACAAACACTGGCCAAAATTAGCATTCAATTTAGTTTTTTACTTTTTTCACACACAAACAAATATGAACGCTAACTTTGGCCAGTGTTTGCGACTAAGTGACTACTAAAAACTACTGGACATACCCCGTATTGAATACCCTGGGTTGTCTACTTTAAAAAAATATGAACATGTGGGGTGTTATTAAGAGATTTATGACAGATAATAGTGTTACATTGTCACTACTGATAAATTTAAAAAATGTATGTTTTGAAACCGCAATATCCTACTTGTACCTATAGCCCTATAACATGCAAAAAAATAGCAAAAAAGCACGTAAACACTGAGTATTTTTAAACTCAGGACAAAATTTTTAATCTATTTAGCAGTTTTTTCCATTCGCTTTTGTAGAGGAGTAAAATATTTTTCAAGTAAAAGTCAAAAAACACGTTTGTTTTTTAAAAATTTTCACCACATTTTTTCTTAAATTAAAATATATGACATTATAGAAATAATGGTATGTAAAGAAAGCCCTTTTTATCCTGAAAAAACCCCAATCTATAGTTTGTATGGGAACAGTAAATGAGAGAGAGGAAAATTACAGCTAAACACAAACACCACAAAAGTGTTAAAACAGTCCGGTCCATAACGTACAACATGGCCAAAACAGTCCGGTCCTTAACGTACAAGATGGCCAAAACAGCCCAGTCCTTAACGTACAACATGGCCAAATCAGTCCGGTCCTTAACGTACAAGATGGCCAAAACAGCCCAGTCCTTACCGTACAACATGGCCAAAACAGTCCAGTACTTAACGTACAACATGGCCAAAACAGTCCGGTCCTTAACGTACAACATGGCCAAAACAGCCCAGTCCTTAACGTACAACATGGCCAAAACAGTCCGGTCCTTAACGTACAGCATGGCCAAAACAGTCCAGTCCTTAACGTACAACATGGCCAAAACAGTCCGGTCCTTAACGTACAGCATGGCCAAAACAGTCCAGTCCTTAACGTACAACATGGCCAAAACAGCCCCGGTTCTTAATGTACAGCATGGCCAAAACAGCCCGGTCCTTAACGTACAGCATGGCCAAAACAGCCCCGGTCCTTAACGTACAGCATGGCCAAAACAGCCCGGGTCCTTAACGTACAGCATGGCCAAAACAGCCCCAGTCCTTAACGTACAACATGGCCAAAACAGCCCCGGTCCTTAACATACAACATTAGCAAAACAGTCCGATCCTTAACGTACAACATGGCCAAAACAGTCCAGTCCTTAATGTACAACATGGCCAAAACAGTCTGGTTCTTAACGTACAACATGGGCAAAACAGTCCAGTCCTCAACGCACAACATGGGCAAAACAGTCCGGTCCTTAACGTATAACATGGCCAAAACAGTCTGGTTTAAGGGGTTAAATGCTTCTCATCAAGGCCTGTGGGGTATTTTACTTCCTTACATTTCCTTGACCCTCTATTTGTTCTTCTCTGTCTAGAACGTGGGATCGATGTTCAGCACATAAGCTCTGGCAGCAGAAAGCAGATTGGTAAGAAATTACTGAGAAGTGAGAACAAGCCCTAGGTCACAGGCAGAAAGTAACCATAGCAAATAGCGCCCCCACTGTATGAGAAGGATGGTATGTGCATTGCACCCAGGATCTCTGGCTAAGGCAATAATTCCTATTTTTCTGGATTTCTGGATCTAAAACAATCTCTGTAGGCTTGGTCCCAGGTTGGAGGGTGGGAGACATGATGGGGAATGGATAATGGGGTCAGGGTGTGGATAATGCCGGGGAGAGTATGGGGTGACACTCATTATGCTGCATAGGACCTCTCCACCCCCGAAACAATGAAAATGCAATCCTAAAGACGTTACAGACATGTGGAGCATAGTAGGACACGGCCAATACACATACAGTTTTATATATGTTCTGTTATATACAGTAGATTATATGATATGTTAAAGCAATGGCGGCTCTAGACTTTGTGAGGCCTTAGGTGAAACTCAAACATGAGGCCCCCACAAACACCAAAAGTAAAAAAAATAAATAGGTGTTTGTATTGTGTGTGTGTATAAAAGGTGCTGTAGTTATATTGAAGGGAGAGCTTACAGCACTGGATGCAGAGAGCTAGTCTCTGCATTCATTGTTCAGAGGCTTACAGTGTCGCGGCTCCCTATGCCGCTGTGTTGTGAGCTCTCCAATTCTAGTTATGGCATATTTTGCAAACTTAATTCATTTGCAATAAACAGATTTAATTAGCAATTATGCTAATCGTTTATACACGACTGCGGGATTTGGTTATATAGCATTGCAGTCGTATATACATAAGTGCTGGTGTGTGTATTGTCTACCCGTGTATGTGCCTGGAAGTGTGTGTCTGATAGAGAGTATCCTTCTGTGTGAATGTATGTGTTTGTGAGCATGTGTCTGGGACTGTATGTGTGTGGGGTGTGTTGTGTTTATGGGGGCTGCCTGGGACCTTGAGTAAAGTGGCAACTGTGGCAGTGTGAGTGTGACAGGGTTAGGGGAGTAAATGAGATGGGGGGGTGAGAATGATAGGGGGGGATTAGAGCATGGTTAGAGGAGAGAGTGTGACAGGCCAAGGGGAAGTAAGTGCGACAGGATTGGAGCAGGGTAATGTGTCAGTGTGAGTGTGGCATAGTTGGGGGGTGTATCACAGGGCTGGGGTGAATGTGCCATGTTTGGAGGACAGGATTGTGACAAGATTATGGGGGTTAATGTGGCAGTATTTGAGGCATTAATATAAAAAGCTGAGTGTGGCAGGGTTGGGGAGGAGAGTGTGGCATAGTTGGAAGATAGGATTGGATGGGTTTATGTGGCAGGGTGAAGGAGGTAAGTTGTACAGACTGATGGAGGATGAGTGTGACAGAGTTGGTGGGTGTGTGTGACAGTTCAAGAGAAGGTGAGTCTCTCATGATTGGGGGGTGCAAGGGCAGATGAGTTTAGTATGGTTGTAGGGTGTGAGAGAGACAGGATTAGGAAGGGTTTATGTGAGTGTGTCTGAGAGAAGGGGGTGTCAGTGTGTGGGGGCTGAAAGTGTTTGGGAATGGTGATAGTGTATGTGTAGGGGTGACAGTGTGTGGAGGGGGTGATATTGTGTGTGGAGGGGGTTTCAGTGTGTATGGGGATGACGGTGATGGGGTGTGTGTGTGAGGGTCTGTGACAGGGTGTGTGTGTGTAGCTGTGACATTGGTGGGGGATGGAGAGGCTGTTACATTGGTGGGGGGGGGTTGGAGGGGCTGTGACCTGGGTAAAGGGGGGGTGGAGGTGCTGTAACATGGGTCTCATAATTACCTTTTTTTTAAATCGATTCCCTATTGGTCCAGTGGGCAGGCTTTACCCCAGATTCCTTAGTGGTCCTGTGGGCTTCCTTTCCTGCCTGCAGCTCTGCAGAGTGGTTCTTGGGTCCAATAAAAATTGCCTATCGTTTGGAACAATTTGGAGTGCCTGGATTATTTTCTACAAATACACTCACTCACTGACAGACACACACACATACACACACACACACACACACAGAGAGAGACATTCACTCACTGACAGACACTCACTGACAGAACCACACAGGCAGACACTTACTGAGAGACACACACACTCACAGACACTCACTCACTGACAGTCAAACACTCAAACACTCACCTACCTGGAGTCCAGTGTGGAGCAGCTCCTCACTGCTCCCGCCCGCTGTTTAGTATGCCGGGGCCAGAATGACGTCACATTCCGGCTCCCAGCATCACAGAGGGCACCCGAGGGAGGAGTGAGAGGCTGCAAGAACAGCCTCCCTCGCCGCCTTGCTTCACCTGGCTCTTCCAGCATTTGATGGCAGAGCAGGCACCTGTGATCAAGGTAAGCAGGTGCCTGCTCTGCCAAACTGAAGGACAACTAAGGGGGCACCCTGAGGTGGCCATATGGCCACCACCTGACCCCCCTGTGACAGGGCGCCCCCACCTTCGGGTGCCTGGAGGAGCGGCCCGGCGCTGTGGAGGGGCGGCTCAAGAACAGATCGCCCAAAGTGATGTGGCCCAAGACAGGGGGAGGCCGCCAGGAAATATCCCAGTGGGCGCCCCCAGCAGGCCGGCGCCCTAGGCGAATGCTTAGTACTCCTAATGGTGGCGCCGGCCCTGCAAGTACCCCCTACCAGTCCAGGATTTAAGGATTACCCTGTTGTGTCTAAAGTGTGTTTTTTTTTTTTCTAAAAAAACTTTCTGCTTTAAACATGTGTTATCAAAAAGAAATGCACCTTATACACACACTTATATACAAGGATACTTATCAGTGGTTAGTGAATGCAGCCTCCCTCAGATCGCTCCCAGCCAGCAATCAACTTGAACACAAGAATATACAAAACACAACGAGGGAACCGGCTGATTGTCTAAATGAAGATAAATAAAAAGAGGTATAGTGTAATACAGTTTTACAATATTAACACTGCGCAATATAAAATGCACTCACAGGATATTGGACAGTTCAGGCATATATGGTGCCACCCCTGATGATATGGGGGGCTAGAGAAATCCCCTGGACACTTCCACTCAAAATGCAGGACTCCAGGTGAAGATATGAAAAAAGCGGCTTTAATTGTATAAAAATATAAAATAGATACAAATAAAGGTCCTACGCGTTTCGTCCCTTCTACAAAATATGGGACTTCGTCAGGGACCACAATATTAAAATAACAATCAATGCAGTACAATCACAAAAACAGCCTAACATCCCTCCACCCTCAAGTCCTTTAAATAGGGCTAATCCCTAAATGTAATTAATCACATGTGCCTCTCTGTCCTCCCTCATTGGTCCTGTGTAGATGAGTTTCATACGCATAGCACTTCCGGTTTTTGGAACGCACGGAAGTGCCGAAAATAACCGGAGAATTACAGAAATGATGAAGATCAACTGTGAACACCTGGGAATAAGATCTTCAACAGATGAAACTCATCTACACAGGACCAATGAGGGAGGACAGAGAGGCACATGTGATTAATTACATTTAGGGATTAGCCCTATTTAAAGGACTTGAGGGTGGAGGGATGTTAGGCTGTTTTTGTGATTGTACTGCATTGATTGTTATTTTAATATTGTGGTCCCTGAGGAAGTCCCATATTTTGTAGAAGGGACGAAACGCGTAGGACCTTTATTTGTATCTATTTTATATTTTTATACAATTAAAGCCGCTTTTTTCATATCTTCACCTGGAGTCCTGCATTTTGAGTGGAAGTGTCCAGGGGATTTCTCTAGCCCCCCATATCTTCAGGGGTGGCACCATATATGCCTGAACTGTCCAATATCCTGTGAGTGCATTTTATATTGCGCAGTGTTAATATTGTAAAACTGTATTAAACATGTGTTAGGGCTGATAAGAGACAGACTGTGTCAGGTACTAACTAAGCGGCCAGCCTCTCCTTCAGTGACACATAAAGCAGACACAAACTATACAATGGACGTAATAATGATATATTCTGTGTTAATGACTACTGGAGGTATGTTACCTGTGTGATATTAGCTTTGTTTAATGCATGTTGTGTGTATAATATACTGTATTCCTGTGTGTGCAGATATGTACGGGTATTGCATGTTGTCTGTGCTATATTGTGCCTGTCTGTGTGTGAATGTTTATGTGTGTGCATGTATGTGTATGATGCCTGCTCTGCATTCAGTACAATACATACTTGTACATGCATGTGCGTGCTGTATTTTGTATGTTTAATGTGCTATGCTCCTGTATGTGCATGTGTAGGTGTATATTACACATTTTACATACAGTTTATACTATGATTGTATGTACATGTGTGTAATATGCATGTTTGTAAACCCGCATTTTGTGCTGCATTTTACATCCACCCCTGCAAGAAGCCCATTTAATTTGAAGACTGCAGCTCAGTACAGACTGAGAATCCGAAGCCATTCTACCGGATTTCCTTAATCTTAGTTACTACAGTATTAATTTACTAGAACAATGTTATTTGGATTCCACTACCACCTGTACGCTGATGGCATGGGTCACATTTCTGATCCATTTACATACATTTTATGTTTAAGATTTGTAATAATTTATAGCATTTTGTAAACTTTTGATTCTCCTCTGCCACAATTCCTTTCTGGTCTATCTGTCTGAATAAAACGTGAATAGGGTTCACCCCAGCAGCAGCTAGAGATGAATATTCTAAATGTGTAGGTCAGACTTATAATGAATAAGGTTTAAATTACGATAGACAGTACTGAAACGCACATTTGATTGAGAGTTCGTGCTCTGAATGCACTGTAACCACATACCAGGTGGGAGTGATACATTGTCACAGTGTGTGCTACATGTGGGTGTACATTGCTCTACTGAACGTGACAATTTATCTTGTTTTAATAAATTTATTTTCGCAGCCCTGAATCCGGCTCCGCTCACTAGTCGTCTGTCCAGGCACCACTCCTCGTTACACGTGCCCAACGTGACCTGCATCGCAGCAAAGCCTGGGGCTAGCGTGACCCTGAACTGCTCCTTTCAGTCGCCCAGTCCCGTCCGCCTGGATCAGAGCACTATTAAATGGACCAAGAATGGGGTGGTGATGCAATACCAGAATAATTCGTGCTGCGGCAGCCTGTACCCCGAGATTTACTTTGAGGACAGTTTTGTGAAACTGGAACTGATTAATGTGACACTAGAGGATGCTGGAAATTATAACTGCTACATAAAGCACGAGTCTACCGAGCAAAGCTACGATATTATTCTTCAAGTAACCGGTACGTCACAGTGCCCCCTACTGACTATAGCTGTACTAAGCCATGTCCCTGTAATCGTTTCTCTGAGTGCTATTTGGAAATGTAACAATAAATACACATATAAATATTGATCACCTACATGCCATAGTATCTTTAATAACTCTGTAAGCTTTGTGATGTGACTGTTAGTAAGCCGCCTTCCTTTATAGATTCAGTACATTTATATGGGAAACATTGGGGGAATGTGCTTCAATGTAGGGTTGTAAGATCGCTATACGTTTTTTCACTTAGCCTTTGATTTCATATTTTTGGATGAGTGTTTCAAATTGCTTAATATTTTTGTATAAATGTGTAATATTTTCATATTTTTGATATAAAGATTTTTTTGATATGTGATGTAATTTTAGAATTTTAATATTTTGGAAAAAAAAGTGTATCCAAAAATATAAAATCATTTAAAAAGGCTTATTCAAAAAATATGAAATTAGAGGGACAACTATAGTCACCTGAACAACTTTAGCTTAATGAAGTAGTTTTGGTGTATAGAACATGCCCCTGCAGCCTCACTGCTCAATCCTCTGCCATTTAGGAGTTAAATCCCTTTGTTTATGAACCCTAGTCACACCTCCCTGCATGTGACTTGCACCGACTTCCATAAACACTTCCTGTAAAGAGAGCCCTATTTAGGCTTTCTTTATTGCAAGTTCTGTTTAATTAAGATTTTCTTATCCCCTGCTATGTTAATAGCTTGCTAGACCCTGCAAGAGCCTCCTGTATGTGATTAAAGTTCAATTTAGAGATTGAGATACAATTATTTAAGGTAAATTACATCTGTTTGAAAGTGAAACCAGTTTTTTTTTTCATGCAGGCTCTGTCAATCATAGCCAGGGGAGGTGTGGCTAGGGCTGCATAAACAGAAACAAAGTGATTTAACTCCTAAATGACAGTGAATTGAGCAGTGACATTGCAGGGGAATGATCTATACACTAAAACTGCTTTATTTAGCTATAGTAATTTAGGTGACTATAGTGTTCCTTTAAGGCCTTTGGTAGGATGTTGACCACTGACCAGATACGTGGAAAACAGCAGGATTAGAGAATTTTTCAGATTTGGCTATTTCGGATTAAAATGTGCAAATCTTTTGGCAATGCTTCATAATTCCTAATTTGGTATGATGATTTTAAAAAAAAATAATATTTTTTTGATACAGTGAAATATTTTTTGAGATTGTTAAAATCATTGTTGAAATCACTAACTTTGGTTTATCGCTGTACAGAAAACTCTGCCTGCAGCGATTTCTCTGACCCGGTTCCAAGAAACGAGAGCAGGAAGCAGCACGGGGGTCCTACGGATCTTCAGATTGGCCTGGTTACTGGCGCGGCTGTTCTTACGGCAGTATTCGCTGTTCTTTTGTATTTCTGCTACAAACCCTGATATCTCTTCCAGCGACGCTTGGCACAGGTATTCTCGCCTGCACCTGTTGCTGAGAGTATTTTGCAGGGATCGCTGCCTACCCTCACTTCAGCAGCTTTGCCCTTCAACTCCCATCAATCACAGCAGAGAGTGTGTTTATGCAGCCGGCGACTCTCTGCAGCTTCCAAACTGCAACATTAATCTTTTTTCAAATTTTGGCTGTCACAGAGACTGATTGAGGCATATGGCTAAGGTTCATTTTTTAATTTTTATAACAGAAAGTACACAAATCTTTTTTAAGGTTTCTTTTTTTTTAGATGCCGTATAATCGTTTTCTTATAGTTAGTTTACTCTGGAACTGACATGTTTGGCATTCTGCAAATCTTTACTGGTCTCGTTACATGTTGTGTGATTAGGTCGTCCAGTTGTAATGACATTGGTAAAGTAATACCTTCTCTTACCGCCCGCAGACTCAGAAATGCTGATTCAAAATATTAATTGTCATTCGTTGCTCATTTCTACTACCGGCTAACCCAAAGCTGAGGCTGAATACACACCAATAAACAGACAATTAACATGTGGCAGATTTGATAAATAATCTTGTCATGTTAAACACCAAGCCTCACGTAAGACGTTAGTTTTAAGGGAATTCTTGGACAAAGCCGGGAAAGAAAATGCGGGAGTGGATTGTGTCGTGGATTTAACCCCTTCACTACCAAATGCTTTTCCTTAACAAAAATAGAGTATATATTTATTTTAAAGAGTTTAAGAGTTTACATTTAAATATAGGACAAACCAACATGGAGATACTTGTTCAGTGATGCCTATAAAATTTTAATTTACGCAAGTTTACACTATTTGCATTTTTTCAATTTTTTTTACATACTGCGTATGAATATTTTGGTATAACACGTTTTAGAAATGGCATTGATTTATCGCAGTGTTTCAGATGGTGCCTAAGAAAAATAAAATAAATACATTTCCTGTCTTATACAATAGGTTTGACGAAAATAATAAATAAAAATGGTTAAGGATCCCGATTAAGGGTATTTGCAAGTTACCTGATGGCATTTCTGGGAGGGCAGCTTCCTAAAAAATGCAGCCGGGATTTATAAATAATGTCAGTACAGCTACACCAAGCAGCTGTACTATACAAGGCTGCTATTATATCCAGGTAATAATAACACCTACAGTGTGCTCAGTATGATCTGCTCCCTGGATGCTCAAATGCAGCCACGGTGTTTGACCTACATAGGTTGTCTTAGATTAAGAGATTAAAGGTAGGGCAGTGAATTTACTACGAGCCCTTAGCAATAAATGTATTTCTAACTGGGTATAAAATGAATTATAAAATTAAGATATTAAATATAAAATTAAGAATGAAGTACGGCTTTATAGAACACGTTTTGTTCTGCATTGCAACATACGTTAATTAACATGTATATGCATATTGTTGGGAGGGAAAAAGGTTCAGAAGTGAGGTACGGGGCATCTCTAATGGTTGTGTGCATTATTTATTACGGAATAGGCTGTGTTTAGCTTTAAGTTAGAAGCAGAGGCGTAAATGAAAATAGCGCTTTGATGACAGCGTCTGTGCGTTTTAACATTGTTTCGGTGCGCCCTCTGATGGGGATGCAGAGATTACACAGGCAGCATTCTATCAGAGCATTGCAGGAAGCTCTGGAGACATGGTTCTTTGGCCTTTTTTTGTTTTTTTTTAGTTTCAAATTATTCAGTAGACAGCATTTTTTTTTTTTTGCTTGAGTCGTCACTGCTCATTGACAGCTATAGGTGTGACTGCGAGAGCCATGTAATCTGTCTGACACATGAAGCCAAGTCAACATTCTGGAGGAATAAGATATCTCTCCATGTCAGCAGTTTATTTAACATTGCATGTTTTTATATAAGAGAACGCTCTGGGTTTATTCTGAGGTTTTTATTGGCTATTTTTTTTAAAGTGTTATAGATTAAATTATAATTTTATTTTAAAAAAGGAATTAAAAGCACAGCGTAGAGCTATGATATAAATAATAATAATATAATAAAACTAATAATGTAATAATATAAATAGGGATACAAAACTGAGAAATAAATTAGGATAAATTATTAAAAAAATAAAAAACATTTTTTTTCTGCTGCTGTTTATTTTAAAAACATTTGCTTAAATACTTATTTCTGTACTGTATACGTATATTAGAAAACACAGCTGGAGTGAGATTAGGGCTGTCGGCTTATTCCTTGCATTTAAATTCTGCATTTTTTATCTGCAAAGAATGAAAATGGCGGATTGCGGAATTCACGTTCTCCCGATGAGAAATCAAGGAATTAATCACAGAGGATTCCTTCAGACTCTGATGTCACACCTGGAGCGCATGAATTCCACATTCTGACACACAACACCCCCAAGCGCCAGGGAAACTAAACAAAAAGAAAGCAGGCAGCTGTAAAATCCACAGAGAGCTGCTTTCTCTGTTGAAATTGATGTAACTGTGAGTATGTTTCTGCAATGAAAGAATTGTAAATCGTTACAGTAATAAATGGATTGGCTATATTACTGATACTATTAACACAGAGAGACATACAGTGAGGATATCACTATCTGTGTGTAGTGTCTCTGACTGTCTGCAGCCAGGCTGTGAATTTACTGCCGCTCACTCAGTGCTGTCCGTGGCTGAGCTTTGTACGTACATTTGATGAGGAAGTCTTTCTGGCATGAGGAGGCGTGGCTAAAAGAGGCCGGCTTCTGGTGCAGCATTCTGCAAAACATTTACAGGGTTATTCACTAAAGTGAGAATTCAATGTGAATTTAAAATTTAGGATCAAAGTAGCTGAACGGGAGACATTCTCTTAGTCAGCTCTGCTTTCCATGCAGCTACTCTAGTCGTAATTCTCAAATTCACTTTGAAATCACTTCCAGGACTCACTTTATTGAATAACCCAGCTATTTGTTTGTGCAAATCTATAAAAAAATTTGAGAATGCAAATAATACAGCTAAGTAACGAGGTCAAATCTAGCACGTTTATTACAATTGTATTGTTGGCTGGAGTGCTTATTTAATTTGGGATGCCTTCTTGATGAATTCATTGATTTCCCTCTTTTGGGATATTAATTGCATTGATTATTTGCACTCATCTACTCATTTCCATTTCAAAGTTGTGGGAATATATTTTGAAAAATTGATCTATGTAATTCTTTAAAAAAACCGTCCAGATTTCATAAATCGTGGTAAATACAACTTCCTTAATTGTGTTTCACAGGATCCGTTTCTAACTTGATCTAATAACTATAGAACTATAATAACTGTCATGCGTCTGCTGAGATGGTTTAGGGAAATGAAACGGATACTTCCTGAAACTGGACCTTCTGCTAACCAGGACACATTATAAGATTGTAGAAAAGAGAACCCAGTGAGTCGATGTAACTAATTCTCAGACAATAAATGGACACATTTCTAATTTATAAAATAAAGCTTTGATTTGAATGCATTAATCACAAATATTAATAAATATACATCACTATCTGATAATATGTTTACAATGTTTTAATGTTATAGTAATGACACGTTATGATAAATCTCTCTCGATGAAGATGTTCTCTACCACAAACACTTCATGTTACACATGATACATTCAGAATAATATAAATAAACACAGCCTTCGTTTTAGAATGGAAAGCCAGGACTAGTATGTAACATCTAACATCTAAAATAACTCCCAATACAATAACTGCTAATACAACAACTGCTAATGCAATAACTGCTAATGCAATAACTCCCAATACAATAACTCCTAATGCAATAACTGCTAATACAATAACTGCTAATACAATAACTCCCAATACAATAACTCCCAATGCAATAACTGCTAATACAATAACTGCTAATGCAATAACTCCCAATACAATAACTCCCAATACAATAACGTCTAATACAATAACTCCTAATACAATAACTCCCAATATATTAACTCCCAATACAATAACTGCTAATGCAATAACTCCCAATACAATAACTCCCAATACAATAACTTCTAATACAATAACTGCTAATACAATAACTCCTAATACAATAACTCCCAATATATTAACTCCCAATACAATAACTGCTAATGCAATAACTCCCAATACAATAACTCCCAATACAATAACTCCCAATACAATAACTCCCAATGCAATAACTGCTAATACAATAACTGCTAATATAATAACTCCCAATACAATAACGTCTAATACAATGACTGCTAATATAATAACTCCCAATACAATAACTGCTAATATAATAACTCCCAATACAATAATTGCTAATACAATAACTCCCAATACAATAACTCCCAATACAATAACTGCTAATATAATAACTCCCAATTCAATAACTGCTAATGCAATAACTCCCAATACAATAACTCCCAATACAATTACTCCTAATGCAATAATTGCTAATGCAATAATTGCTAATACAATAACTCCCAATACAATAATGTCTAATACAATAACTCCCAATCCAATAACTCCCAATGCAATAACTGCTAATACAATAACTGCTAATATAATAACTCCCAATACAATAACGTCTAATACAATGACTGCTAATATAATAACTCCCAATACAATAATTGCTAATACAATAACTCCCAATACAATAACTCCCAATACAATAACGTCTAATACAATAACTGCCAATACAATAACGTTTTTGATAATGTAATAATAAGAGCGTTTGCTTTGTCTAAGAGGATTTAGGGGAGGGAGCACCTTCAGATATTTTATGTTCCTTTTGGTCAGCTTGAGGGTTTATTTCTTTTGATGTATGTGTAACAGTTGAATATTTTGTGATATTTTCTAAATAAAGAATGTATTATCGCTAAGGTTTAATTGCTTCCCGTGTCTCCCGCTCCTTTCTTGTAACTGAGAGGACTCAGAGAAAGTTTGGTGTGAACTGTGCACTCATCTCTGCGTGAAGCTGTGAGTGTGTACTCAGCACTGTGTGAAGCTGTGAGTGTGTGCTCAGAACTGCATGAAGCTGTGAGTGTGAGTGTGTTCTTAGTACTGTATACAGCTGTGAATGTGTACTCAGCACTGTGTGAAACTAGCTATGAAATCCCAGCACTGTACGAAGCTGTGAGTGTGTACTCAGCACTGTGTGAAGCTGTGAGTGTGTACTCAGCACTGTGCGAAGCTGTGAGTGTGTACTCAGCACTGTGTGAAACTGTAAGTGCATACTCAGCACTGTGTGAAGCTGTGAGTGTGTACTCAGCATTGTGTGACACTGTAAGTGCATACTCAGCACTGTGTGAAGCTGTAAGTGTATACTCAGCATTGTGTGAAACTGTAAGTGCATACTCAGCACTGTGTGAAGCTGTGAGTGTGTACTCAGCATTGTGTGACACTGTAAGTGCATACTCAACACTGTGTGAAGCTGTGAGTGTGTACTCAGCATTGTGTGACACTGTAAGTGCATACTCAGCACTGTGCGAAGCTGTGAGTGTGTACTCAGCACTGTGTGAAGCTGTGAGTGTATACTCAGCGCTGTGTGAAGCTGTGAGTGTGTACTCAGCACTGTGTGAAGCTGTGAGTGTGTACTCAGCACTGTGCGAAGCTGTGAGTGTGTACTCAGCACTGTGTGAAACTGTAAGTGCATACTCAGCACTGTGTGAAGCTATGAGTGTGTACTCAGCATTGTGTGACACTGTAAGTGCATACTCAGCACTGTGTGAAGCTGTAAGTGTATACTCAGCATTGTGTGAAACTGTAAGTGCATACTCAGCACTGTGTGAAGCTGTGAGTGTGTACTCAACATTGTGTGACACTGTAAGTGCATACTCAGCACTGTGTGAAGCTGTGAGTGTGTACTCAGCATTGTGTGACACTGTAAGTGCATACTCAGCACTGTGTGAAGCTGTGAGTGTGTACTCAGCATTGTGTGACACTGTAAGTGCATACTCAGCACTGTGCGAAGCTGTGAGTGTGTACTCAGCACTGTGTGAAGCTGTGAGTGTATACTCAGCGCTGTGTGAAGCTGTGAGTGTGTACTCAGCACTGTGTGAAGCTGTAAGTGTATACTCAGCATTGTGTGAAGCTGTGAGTGTGTACTCAGCACTATGTGAAGCTATGAAGCTGTGAGTGTATACTCAGTACCTAGACTTCTTCATCTAATTAATATGGGTGCAGTGTCCCTGTCGCCTTAACCCTGCAATGTAAAACGGTTTTAGAGTTACTGCAATGTTTATAGTGCAGGGTTAGGACTGCCTCTAGTGGCTGTCTCCCATGCCATTTCCTGCAGTTTCTCTGAGTTTAACTCCGTGAAGCGACCCTGGACACCCTCACACTTTGGACATCTAGTGTCTTCAAAACTCCGCAAGAGAGCATTGACTCTATAGAAACATAGAAACATAGAATGTGACGGCAGATACGAACCATTCGGCCCATCTAGTCTGCCCAATTTTCTAAATACTTTCATTAGTCCCTGGCCTTATCTTATAGTTAGGATAGCCTGATGCCTATCCCACGCATGCTTAAACTCCTTTACTGTGTTAACCTCGGGGGCCCCTAATGTGTTTGCGCAATAGTTAACCTCTATACTTTCCCATGGGGACGCCTAATGTGTGTGCGCAATAGTTAACCTCTATACTGTCCCATGGGGACGCCTAATGTGTGTGCGCAATGTTGCCGGAGAGGGTACCTCAGCGCTGGAATCAGGTATGTGAAATAAAGGGGTTTTAACCCTTTCTTAACTGCTGTGGGGACAGGGCAATGGGACAATATAGCGTTAGGAATACAGTTTTGTCACAGTATACAGTATGCAGTTTTGTTACAGTATACAGTTTTGCTACAGTATACAGTTTTGTCACAGTATACATTATACAGTTTTGTTACAGTATACCGTTTCGTTACAGTATACAGTTTTGTTACAGCATACATTATACAGTTTTGTTACAGTATACAGTTTTGTAACTCTGCAACTTTTGCGTTTGTCACAAACATAGAATCTTTCTAATAAACTCATAAAGTCTGTGTTGGAATTCATTTTTGTTAAAATTCAATAGATTCTGCTCCCACGCCTCGCCATTTCCTATCAGAAATGAACTGTGATGCGTTACAGCCGCCATCTGCGATGACATGTGACATAGTGACACGGTTCTGGGCAGATAACATTGCCAGAAGATTTAAACCAAGAATATAGCAGCACCAGGGGGAGAGGCTGAGGTAAGTCATTATTCCTTCCCTTCTCGCCCTCGCAGCCAGAAGGTAAGTGAAATTGGATGCAGTTAGGGGTAACATCTAAAATGGGGTAAATGCAAACATTTCGCTATGTTCTTGTTGACCAATAATTGTTCATCAAATAAAGTTTTGTAATTATGGAAATGCTTGTTTTATTTATAACAGTTAGCACATTCTATATTCTATAAAACCAATAAAGCGGAACAAACGGTAAGTTGATTTATAGTGTAGCAACATATCACACAGGCCGAGTTATTCAGTAAATCCTAAATTTTCTGTATTATATCACAGAATTGCAAATCTGAGGTTAAAATTACTGGAAAAACATCTCAAAGAAAGTTACATTTCCAGATCGGTTATTAAAGGGTTAAATTTGTAATTCTCAACAATTCAGGACTTTGTGAATAACCCGGACTGTAAGCTTCGCCCTGTAGCACAAAATGAATAATACTCTCGTTAAAAAAAGTAATAAAAATGATGTATTCACAAAATATGAGAAATTCTTCATAATTCTCCTAAATGAATGATAGCTAATACAAATTGCTCCTAATGGGATATATAGACTGATGTGGAGGAAACAGAATATAATGTCCAATGTTTCAGTATGTAAGATAAAATTCGAAGCATTTTTTTCTAGTTTTTATATAATTTTGAAAACACAAACTGTGTTTCTTTGGAGGTTACTTATCTTATTTATATTAATTTAAAGGAACCTCAGTTGGTCATGTAGCTACGGTGAGAATCTAACAAAGGCAAGCTACTGAGGAGCAGACGTGATGCTCTGCGCCATGTGAGTGACCACCAGTGCTTAGAAAGAAGCTGAAAAACATGTTACATAGATAAGTAGGGAGCTTTAAATTAATTATTTTTTTCAGTTTTATGATGTTAAATCTTTATGAAATTGCTGTCATGATTCTCATTGTTTTGGGTTAAAGAATATATTTACAATGAAGCAGTTCTATGTTTTCCATTTTGTCATGGAGCAAGTCATACGGAGTTTTAGATCTATACTAGTCTCTCTTCTTCCAACCCATGTTGGCGCAGGACACACATGCCTTATTGGAAACAGTAGTCATGCTGGCACAGGATGCAGTTGCCATGTTGGCACAGGAAACAGATGCCATGTTGATGCAGGATGCAGATGTCATGTTAACGAAAGATCAGAGACGCCATGTTGGCACAGTACGCGGATGCCATGTTGGCGCAGGAGACAGATGCCATGTTGGCACAGCATGCAGATGCCATGTTGGCACAGCATGCAGATGCCATGTTGGTGTAAGAACACAGATGCCTTGTTGGCGTAAAAATGCAGATGCCATGTTGGTGTAAGAACACAGATGCCTTGTTGGCGTAAAAATGCAGATGCCATGTTGGCACAGAGCGAGATTGGGAGCAGGACTAGGAGAGTCTCGTTTTTTCTGCCACGTTTACATAGTCAAAATCTGCTGTGCCAGCTGAAAGAGAAGAGAAATGGATTTAAATAGGCTTGTGATGTAATAGGGAGTGAATTATAGGATACTGTAAATTCAGAAAATCGAATATAAATAACAATATAGAATGTAGGAAGAGTTTTATAGGATAATGGCGTAAATAACATGCTGTTGGTAAGAGTATGGAATAGGGAGATAATGAAAAGGGTAGAATAGGATATCGGGGTAATGACATGATTTGAGTAGCATGGTAATGGCGTGATATTAGGAAGTGCGTAATGTGAAATAGTAGTATGGTAATAGCGTGATATTAGGGAGTGGGTAATGTGATATAGTAGTATGGTAATGGCGTAATATTAGGGAGTGGGTAATGTGATACAGTAATATAATGGCGTAATATTAGAGAGTGGGTAATGTGATACAGTAGTATGGTAATGACGTGATATTAGGGAGTGGGTAATGTGATATAGTAATCTAATGGCGTAATATTAGAGAGTGGGTAATGTGATATAGTAGTATGGTAATGGCGTAATATTAGGGAGTCGGTAATGTGATATAGTAGTATGGTAATTGCGTGATATTAGGGAGTGGGTAATGTGAAATAGTAGTATGGTAATGGCGTAATATTAGGGAGTGGGTAATGTGATATAGTAGTGTTACAAACTGCCATTTGTAACTGTTATTTTATTTGACAAATTGCCCTGCTTCCCTGTGTTATGGAGAAGCCTAATTGCCAGCCTCCTGCCCCATGACTATGGACCTAGTGTGTATGGCGATTTGACTGTATTTGTGGGATCTGAGCGCTGTTTGGATATATTGAGCGCTCAGATCCAAGCCATCTGGGGATAGGTTGAATGTGGGGGTTCTGTTCAGTTCAATAGGAGTTATGTATTTTTGTATCTTTTTGTGTCTTTTGTGTCTTTTGCCAACATGTGGTTAATGGAGTCTGCCTCTATCCCTGGATAATTGGATTACTTTCCCCATTGTCCAGGATAGAGGGCTCTGTAAAACCAGTTTGGGCCAGAAAACCATGCTGCCAGCCAGGCCCCAAAAGACACTTTTGCTAACTTTTGAACCCCTTGTCTGATTTGTGCCATTTTTTTAATATGTTGCTCCCCTTAATGGATTGATTCCAAATATGTAATTTTTATGAAGATTGGATGTGTAGTTTGGAAGTTATAGTACATGTATAAAAACTGTATTTTTACTGTTCTGTTTTAATTATGTTATGTGATTATCTGAGGGATGAGAATTTCCCCGAATGTATATTGTTCCGATTGGTTATACTGCTAATTATGTGGGTGTCTCCCTTGCATGGGCAGAATCTCATAAAAGCAGAGTGTGTGCCATTAAACATGAGATCTTCTTGACCCTCAATACGTAGCCTTGTCTCGTTATTGGAGGGAACTGCTATATCACACTGGGGATTGCTATGCTCTGCATACTCCCCTGAGCTTTTAATCACTTAGCTCTTTTAAGAGCTGTTCCTGTTACGCTCTCCTGGAGGAGAGGTCTTCCCCACACGGTCCTGGAGGACAGACGCTGATCCAGGGTGGAAGGAAGACGGCGAGACTCCAGTTAAGCTACGGCGGTTGTGGAGTCTGCGGTGGTTGTGGTGTCGGCTGCAGTGTTTGGAGTCCTCAGGAAGCGCTAGGAGCATCCATCAACGGAGGGTACTCGGTCAGAGTACAGGGAGCTCCGTTACAAGTAGTATGGTAATGGCGTGATATTAGGGAGTGGGTAATGTGATATAGTAGTATGGTAATGGCGTGATATTAGGGAGTGGGTAATGTGATATAGTAGTATGGTAATGGTGTAATATTAGGGAGTAGGTAATGTGATATAGTAGTATGGTAATGGCGTGATATTAAAGAGTAGGTAATGTGATAGTAGTATGGTAATGGCATAATATTAGAGAGTGGGTATTGTGATATAGTAGTATGGTAATGGCGTGATATTAGGGAGTGGGTAATGTGATATAGTAGTATGGTAATGGCGTGATATTAAAGAGTGGGTAATGTGATATAGTAGTCTGGTAATGGCGTGATATTAGGGAGTGGGTAATGTGATATAGTAGTATGGTAATGGCGTGATATTAAAGAGTGGGTAATGTGATATAGTAGTCTGGTAATGGCGTGATATTAGGGAGTGGGTAATGTGATATAGTAGTATGGTAATGGCGTGATATTAGGGAGTGGGTAATGTGATATAGTAGTATGGTAATGGCGTAATATTAGAGAGTGGGTAATGTGATATAGTAGTATGGTAATGGCGTGATATTAGGGAGTGGGTAATGTGATATAGTAGAGTATAATCGTTTAATATGATGCAATAGGTTAATTCAGAGCTTTCCAAACTTTTTCATGTAGGTGACACATGTTTCAGACGTGCATTATTTCGCGATACGGTGGAGATCGAGATGGTGTTCCGCATAACCAGAAGTGACACAGAATCAGCTGTTTTGATCTGATGCCGCATATTGTACATGCGCAGAATATATGTATGAACTCTCGACCGTCTCTAACACTCTGGACCCTATTCACACCTTATTTACTGTTGCTGGCTGGCTGCTGTGACTGACCCCTTTGTAAATCATGCCTTCTGCACATTTTTACCTTAAAAAAACACTCCAAATACCATAACCATTACAGATTTCTGCAGTGATTATGGTTCCAAGATTGACCCCCACCCTTATTGTAAGTAATCAAACCATTTTAGAGCAGTTTGATTTCTTACCTGCAGTCCACCAAACACCGCACCCACCCAGTGGAGTTCAGTAAAAACACTTCTAGCGACACTGTGTTTCCATATTGAGGGCAGCATAACCCCCTGCACAATGCTACAGGCTCACAGAAGCATTGATTACATTAATTTACATAGCGTGCCAGGGCCGTGTCAGAACAGCCATACATGTCATGTAAACTGAAAAACTCATTTTTAATTAAATATCAGGTTGTAAAAATGCCCACATGTGACATTCCTGTTAATATCTAATAAACGCAGTTACCTATTCGTTTTATACATTTACGCCTTGACGAGTTAATAGCCGCGATTTACTTACAGGCGGGAGATTCGGTTCTGGTGATATTCTCGTACGAGTGGCACAGACTATCTGACAGTGACAGAGACAGCGTGGCAGAGCTGTTAA